ACGATGAGCAGGCAGACTTCTAAAAAACCTGGAAAACACTCATATGAACTGATGTTGAATTAATTAAGCAGAACCAGGAGAACATTGTACACAATAACAGCCACAATGTGCAACTGACTAATTTTTATAAGACTCATCTCTTCTTAGCAATGCAAGGATCCAAGACAACTCCAAAGGACTCATGATGGAAAATGCTGCCCACATCCAGAAAAAGAACTATGGAAGTCTGAATGCAGATCAAAGCATATTCTATTTGCTCTCTCTTTTTTCCCCTTTTTGTTTTTCTTCTTTCTTGTGGTTTCTTCTATTGGTTCTAATTCTTCTTTACAATATGACTAATGTGAAAATGGTTCAATACGAATGCATATGTAGAGCCCATATCAAATAGCATGCCATCTTGGGGTGGCAGTAGTGGAGAGACGGGGAGAAATTTGGGACTCAAAATCTTATAGAAGTGAATGTTGAAAACTAAAAATAAATAATTTTTTTAAAAAAATGCTATATTCCCTTCTTCCTGTTGTTTGCTTTCTTATTTCAGTAATGTCAAACATCTTCTTTTCTATCATTTTGTGAGTTTTTTTTTTAAAGTCACATGAAGTTAATATTAAGACAAAACAGGTTTCAGGTAACCAAAATGTTCTGGGAGGAATGGCATAATAAAACTGAATAAAAGGAAAATTAAAAATTATCATCACACTACTAATGAGGCAGCTAGGTGGCACAATGGATATGGATTTGGAAGATATGAATTCAAATCTGGCCTCAGACATTTACTAGCTGTGCAATCCAAGGCAAATCACTTAACCTCAGTTTCTTTATCTTATCTTTAAAATGGGGACAATAATAGTACCAACCTTCCAAGGTTGTTGTGAGGAAAAAAATGAGATATATTTGTAAGGCACTTATATTCTCTTTCATTCTTCCCCCTTAGCTCTCAAAATCCTTATCTTTGTTCAACTGTCGTTTCCTGTGAAGTCTTACTTATCTCAATTGCTAATATAATTTCCTTCTTTAAATTATGTTGTATTTACTTATCTGTTTGCAAGCTGTATTTTCCTAAGGAAATGGCCAATTTTTTTGTTTTTGTTTTGAACAGAATAGTGCCCAGCATATAGCAAACATTTAATAAATAAATGCTAAACTGAATTGACAGCAAAATGGCTCCTGCAATGTGTCTTCATTATGTTAAAACCTATACCCAAGGGAGAGCTTTCTGATCACTCCTGGACGGTTTTGCAATTTCTGTTCTGTGGGACTTTGTCTTTCAGTCATTTTTCAGTCATGTCCAACTCTTCCTGACTCCATTTGGGGTTTTCCTAACAGATACTGAAGTGGCTTGTTATTTCCTTCTCAAGCTCATTTTACAGATGAGGAAACTGAGCCCAGGGGCACACAGCTAGTAAGTATGTAAGGCCAGATTTGAACTCAGGTCTTCTTAATTCCAGGCTATCCAGTGTGCACCTAGCTGCCCTTCTGTGGGATTACTTGACAGCAATGTTATAAACAATCAAATCATCCTTACACTCCCATACAAACCAATTCACCAGAGTGTTATGTATTACTTAGAAACAGGTGACCTGATTTAACTATTCAATTCAACGAAAAGAACATTAATGTCAATTATGAGGGTGCCAAGGTACTATGGACACAAAGGTGAAAACATGCCAATTTCAGCCCTGGAGGAGCTTAGATCCTAAGGGCATAAAACATCTACCCAGGTAAGCAAATCTAAGGCAATTTTGAGAGGGAAAAAGAAGCACTAACAACTGAGGCCATCAGGAAAAAAAAAACTTTCTGTAGCAGGAGATCCTTGAAATGAGCTGTGAAGGACTATAAGAAAACTCTACATTGAACATGTTCATTTATACATGTCAGTTTTAGACATTCAATAAGAACTATTCAGTAAAATATCTGGATATCTCCCTTATACACTTCTTTTTTTGAGCCAAAAAACCTCAAAAATACATGTACAGCTTCAAAGAACTCTTTAGAGGTTCAATTAACACCAACAAATGTTTATGTAAGGAGTCATTTAAATGCTTAGTTTATTAAAGTATACTTCAGTTTCAAAGAGGACTGATTAAAGTTTTCTAAATAAAGCTGTTTTTCTTCAAGAGCCTCTTATTCTCAATATACAACAAATGAAAATTAATAGTAAGTTGCTCAAGTTAGTTATAAAAGCAATTTCAATGTGATTCACATTTTTACATAGTGTTACAACTTTAAAATTACTGTAAAAATTAAATAAGAAAAAATGATTCAACATTCTAACTCAATTTCTAATGGTTGGGTAGTTGTCCTTCATTCTCAAAGAGGACCAAAATGACATCACTATGTTAGAGTCAAGCTACAGTGAGTCTGACTGTGGCTGATCAGACCAATACCAGCTCAGAATGCTCTACCACAGGTCAGGCACAAATAGTCCCTGTGAACCTTTGGGGTGGATTTTTTAAGTTTGCACATCCTTGCGTTTCTTTTGAGCTACTTCAATTCTGCTTTGCTCATAAAGGACAATACCTTTTCTGATGTGGGCATGCCATGCTGGGTGGTCCTGTGCCAATGTCTCCCATGTCACAGAATCAATTCCAGAGTTCTTAAGATAGACTGATAGGGTCCTTGTATTGCTTCTTCTGACCACCACGTGAATGCTTGCTCTGTGTGACTTCTCCATAAAATAGTCTTTTTGGCAAGTGTATGTTTTACATTTGAATGTGGCCAGTCCATCGGAATTATGCTCTCTGAAGCAGGGTTTGAATGATTGGCAGTTTAGTTTAAGAAAGGACCTCAGTGTCTGGTATCTTATCCTGCCAGGTGATCTTCAGAATCTTCTTAAGATAATTCAAATGGAGGCCATTCAGTTTCCTGGCATGGTGCTGGTATACCGTCCAGGTTTCACAGGCATACAACAATGAGGTCAGCAAAACAGCTCTGTAGACCTTCAGTTTGGTAGTCAGTCTAATATCTCTTCTCTCCCACACTTTCCTTTGTAGCCTCCCAAACACTGAGCTAACTCTGGCAATGTGTGTGTCAACCTCATTATCAACGTGTGCAACCCTGGAAAATCTGTTCACAAGATAAGTGAACTTATCCACAGCATTCAAAAATTCTTGATTTGCTGTAACGGATAGTTTCATGTATGGATGGTGTGGTGCTGGCTGATGGCGCACCTGTATTTTCTTGGTATTGTTAAGCCAAAATTAGCACAAAGGGCAGAGAACTGATCCCTACTTTGTTGCATTTGTTGCTTAAGAGGCTGCACAATCATCTGCAAACAGAAAATCACATACTCCCTCCACTTTGGTCTTGCCTTGGAGCCTTTTCAAGTTGAAGAATTTACTATCAGTGCAGTAACTGACCTTGATGCCAAGTTCGTCCTCATTGAAGGCATTTGACAACATGGCTGAAAACATCATTCTAAAAAGCATGGGAGCAAGCCCGCAGTCTTGTTTCACTCCGCTGGTGACTGGGAAAACACAAGAGCTTCATCCATGATCCAGAACCTGGGCAAGCATGCCGTCATGAGATTGATGTACAATGCTGATAAACTTCTCTGGGCAAACAAATTTTGACATAATTTCCCATAAGCCCTCGTGAATGACATTATCAAAGGGCTTGGTCAGATCTACAAACATATAGACCTCTGTTCTGCTTTTGGCATTTCTCCTGGAGTTGTCGGGCAGCAAATACTGTATCAACTGTTCCTTAGCCTTTTCTGAAGCTACATTGGCACTCAGGTAGATGACCATCTTCCATGTGAAGGACAGCCTATTAAGGAGGACTCTGGCAAGAATCTTGCCAGCAATAACTAAGAGAGATACCCCACCTCTGATTGTCACAGGACAATCTAATATATGACGTACAAATAAAAGGTCTGAGGAAATGCTACAAGTGATCCAAATCCCATTTTAAATAATTTCTCATTTTATACAACTATGGTTACTATGCTAGAAAAAATGTACAGATTTCAACTGCATAGGTAGTCTTTTCTGTCCAGTTTTGAAATAAAAAGCAGAGAACCTAAGTTCTCATAAGTAATGGATCAGATGACACAATACAAAGTCAGGTTAGGCTGCACATTAATGCTGAAGATGGTGTAAAAGTATTGCTTGACAGAAAAGCCAGGTGTTGCTGCTTAGATAAATTTTTCTGGGGATACCAAGAATATATGTGTGAAACATACATACATACAAACTATAACAGCACTGTGGAAGTTACTTAGAGCTTTAAAGTAGATTAGTAAATATCTTAATTTTAAAAAAGTAATTGAAGTTTTACTCAAAGGAGGGATCTTTAAATGGCTAATATTTCACTTCTATTTTGATGTAAGTGAATGAACACATCCATCAATTTGGCAACTAATTTCATGGTTTACTTGAGATTTAGTTTAACTAAACCATTTGAGGTAAGAGGAGATAAAGTGTGTGATAAATCCTTCTGTTTTCTGAATTTTGGAATTAAAAGCCTGGACACTGTGAGCTCTGTGAGGGCAGGGACTATCTTTTGCCTCTTTTTGTAACCACAGCACTTAGCACAATACCTGACTGACTGACTTATTACCTGTTTTTTCTGCCACAGAAACTATCTGAACCTTTGAAAGCGCTCAAAATAGTGCTGCCAAACAAACAAAAAGAGAATAGAGAATTTATTATATTCTTGAAAAAAAGGAAACAAGTTGGATATAGAGCTGATTCATAATTACATATTTTTTTTCCTGTTCTTTGCATATGGCTATGTTTGTTGGTATTTGTCAAGTTCAGACTATCACATCGGACAACACGCAAATCAGTTAGCTAGTGTTTATAATGGGCCAAGAGGTAAATACCCTTTTGAGTCATTGTCCAAATTACCAGAGAGTACTAAGCATATCTCAAACCTTCCCTTGCATCTTTTAGAAAAGACTATTTCTCAGTTAAGTTTTAATCATGAGATAATTTTAACAAAAGCATTAATAATGACCATTATCCTCTTAGGACTTTTAAAACACAAAGAAGAGCACTCACCTTATGTGAACTGGGTCGGCTGTGATACAGCTGCTGTGCCTGGTGCTGGCTGCTGTTGTGAGTTCCTGGTTCCCTGTTCGTATTATTGGTCTGTGGTTTCCCTGGTCTTGCGATTGTTAAATTCACTCTCTCACCACTAGCCTGGAGAAAACACACATTTCCAGTCAGTCATTAATGATATCTTCCAATTTAAGAATTACTTAACTAGAAATAGCCATTGTTTTCCAGTACTTTGCATCTTCCTCCAATTCTCAATCTAACTGACCACTTTTCTGTAGCCGAGGCTCATTTGAGCAACAACTTAGTGAGCCAATCAATGAGAAGGGAAAGAAGATGACTGCTGGCTGATAATTTTTTCTTAATTTATTTTAAATTTAAATACTAAAACTTAAATACACAATAAGAAAAAGAAACATCATACCAGGTGATATTTTTAAAGCCCTCTGATTGATGTGTGTATGTATGTGTGTTGATGGAATAGATGTATCTCAGAAATTTTTCTATCACTTCTGGATATATCTATTTCATCAGTTCAAGAGCTGCCCACCACTTCCAATCCCTAGTTTGTCTTACTAACACAAAGAAGTATGAGTGTCCTTCCTTCTGACTTTTCATTCTCAGGCTACCTTTTTGTGGTCCCCCCCGAAGGCTGAGTAAAGAAAAGATGCATAAAAAGGCTAAAATTCAAGGAGCAACTTCTCTGAACACTCACAACTAAAATCCTTAATGAGGTCTTCTTTCTTTAAATATTTACATGCTACAATGGCTATTTTTTTTTAAGATACAGGTCAGTTTATCAAGATGAAAAAAGGCACCAGATCAAACTTTCCAGGACATTTTTTTTTAAGTATACATGGGATCATCTAAGTGATTCCTAAAAATTTGGCAAAGTTGTATATTCCTGTGCTGTATGTGTGTATGTTTCACAAAAGGCAGTGTGGCTTCTTGGATATAGTGGCCTTAGAATCAGAAGGTGACACATACTCTCTGTGTGATCCTGAGAGAGTCATCTAACCTTACAGTGGCCCAATAAACCCACCAAGCTAAGAAGTTACAGAACAGCCACCCATCTGGATAGAAAGAATTTCCTGAGAATTCTCTATGTCAGGGGTCCTTAACTTTGTGTCATGGACCCCTCTGACAGTCTAGTGAAGCTTACGGAACTTTATCAGAATACTGTTTTTAAATACATAAAATGAAATACATAACCATTACAAAGAAAACCAATTCTACTGAAACACTGTTACTAAGTTAAAAAACAAATAAACCAAAATCTTAGACCCTAGATTAAGAACCTTTGTTCTACGCTAATGCAAACATAGGTAAAAAGCACCTTGTCTCCCATGCCCCACACCAAGCAAACTTCATAGAATGTTGGGACCCCTTTTTCAATCAATGTGTGTAACACATGTATTATACATGATTTTATAGAGCTTTTATAAAGGGAAGGAATATGTTCTGATGGAAAGCACACTGGCTTAGGATTCAGTTGACCTAGGTTCTAATTCCAACCTGAAGTCATTTATCCTTTCCTGGACTCATTTTCTTTATCTATAAAATGACAAAAATTGAGACAGAGGACTGCTAAGGTTGTTTCCTATTCAAATTCTATTGCTTCAAATATAATTTTGTCTCGAGTTAGTGCAGAAATTTATTGGTTTCTTTTTCCTTCAAAAATATTGTTAGTCATATCTCTAATTTGATACAAGTCCTTGGTTGGAAATGGAATGGTCAGTTATAATATTTTTACTATAGGAAAATATACTCTGCTTTATCAACTATGTTATGAAGTGGTTTCTAGGCAAATGTACTGAAGAGACTGACTGTATCTAAAATCTGTAGCACTAAGAAATATGCTTATTTCCAGTACTTAGTTTGGAAAATTTAAGCACTAAAGTCTCACTAAAGTTTTGTTTATGCAATAATAAACTTCACTGACTGAAATGCATAAGTTAGCTTCAACTCTGACATTTTATGATTAGGAATAACACCTCACATTTATATAACACTTACACGTTTAACATTCATTCTCTAATTTGGTTCTTGTAAGACTGTAAATATTGTATAATTCTCATTTTAAAGATGAAACTTCAGAGGGGCTGAGTGAGTTAATTAAGTTTCTAACAAATATTTCAAAATTGCAGTAGGAATAAAAAAAAAAAAGAAGCTATACTTCCAAACTGGAAAAAGAAAATGCCAATGCTTGATGTTAAAAACCCTAACATATACAGAACCTTGAGCTTTAGGATTATCAAATAGCTAAACAGTAAAGGGTCAGAACATCCCTAAACAGAATAGAAGCAAATCTTTAATCAGGTTTAAAAACACAAGGACATTTGATTGTTGGCTACTTTGGCAATTCAGAATCAGATATTTTTGGGTCTACAAAAACACTGAATTTGATTACCATAAGGATTTCAAAATGCAGGGTTCTCTAGCAAAAAAGAGCATGCCAGTTGCTGCCTGGAACTAAGAACAATTTTTACACTGTCAAACCCCGCTCTAAACAGTTTCAGTTTTACATGATTTAGGATATTATCCTGTAACATGATTTAAAAATACAAATGTAATCATATTTCACTGCAAACATGTAATCTCCTCATATATTTGTCAGTATATTGTCCACATCTTGATTTATAGCTATATAGTATGGGTAGTGTAGGGGAGGCAACCTGTGAGTTTGAAGGAAATAGCTTTTCTCAAAAAAACAAACAAACAAAAAAACCCCAACAAAACTACCTTAGAGATCAAGGAAGCAAAGCTAGAGGATTGTGTAAACAGAGATAGACTCACAGTCTGTCTTTTGCTCAACAACAGGATGAGCCTATAATAATTCTACCTGGAAGGAGGTCTCTACTATCTTAGAAGTCTCCTGCTCCATCAAGATAGTCTGATGAGATTAAATACAGAGAAAACACTGGAACAAACCTGATCTCTGCAACTCTGGAGACCCCAAGGTGAATACGTTATTCCTCAAATGGCCTGACAATCTGTTGCCATAACTCAACCTTCCAAATGAGGAAAGTGGCTGAGCAGCCTCACTTGACAGCTCCTTCTGCTGCTGGAAATGTCACCCTAAAGTTGTGTAAAACCCTACATATGTATGTTATCTGCCTTTGTTTCTTAATGCAGACATCCACTTGGCAAAATACCCATCAATTGATACTAATTAAACTTTTTATCTTCCAGCCCAGCCTCCTGATTTATTGACTTCCAGTCAAACAGACTAAGGTGGAAGGAATTCCTCTCCCAGAGGACTGTGGGACCTCTGGGTTAAGGAATTCCCCAATAGTAGGAGTATCTTCCCCAGACATTCATCTTCAAACACTGTCTATAATTGTTCTCTGAACATTCTTTTCTTCTACACATCGGTCTGCCTCCTTACACTGTATATTTTTTCCTTACTGCATTTAATCATAAAATATTTTTGTTTGTACTTCATCATACAAATCTTTCTATTTCTGGTACATCCCACATAGCACTACCAACGGCCTACATATCTTCCATTTACAACACTGAGCCTGCAAAAGCTATCCCCACTTAGTTGTTTCCTGCGGTTATTTTCATGGAACCAATTATCATCAGGTTGCCATACTCAATAATGAATCCTTCTTTAATGAATCCAGAGATGCAAAGTAATCTACTGGAACATACTAGGTGTGTAATAAATGTTTATTTAATTGAACTGACTTAGAAGCAGCACTGTACTGGTTTTTTGAGAAAACCAATTCTCACTGACTTGGGAAAATATAAGTAATTAAATAAATCACATAAGAGACAGCACAGATTAGTGACCAGAGTGCTGCTCTTAGAGTCAAGCATTCTTGGGATCAAGACCCCACCCACCACCTTCAACATATATTATTTCTGTGACCGTGGGCAATCCATTTATGCCCCTGGCAACCTTCTAAGACTAAGCTGCAGAAAAGTGCCATCATTAGTTTCTCATCAGGAGTTTCTTATACTAATGAAGTAACAGATTTGGTCAAAAACAAAACCAAAAACAAAACAACCCCCCCCCAACCCAAAACCATCAAAACCAAAACCAATAACTTAACCTTATGAAACAAAGATAGAGTGAGAATGTTGTGTACTCCAGTGAATACAGCGAGTTTGGCCACCCACAATTCCCTAACTTGTCCTCATGCTGAGATTCGACATGGCAAATGTCCAATCAAGAATTGGCCACTATCAGCTAGAAGAGCTGGGACTTGAACTCAAGTCTTCCTGACTGGAAGTTCAGCTCTCTATCTACTACATCACATTCTTTGTTTTTTATATTAACAAATTATATTTAGGTAATGTATTTATGAATAGTGTTTCCTTTCTTTTCAATTTATAATCAAGCTAGAAGAAGCATCCAGTCTATAAGCCCTTTGAGAGTAACTTTTAATGAAAAATACCATCAAGAATAAAGTCAGGTGATATAAAATAGGTAAAATAGTTTATTTGACTCTTCATTAACAAATACTGCCATTTGGGGGTAATAAAGTTCCTTCTGCATAACAAGTAAAAGCCAATATCAAATGGAATTTACCTGGATAATCTGAGCAGCAAGTTCAGGGGTGCCATGTTTCAGGTCATGTCCATTGATGGCGAGCACTCGGTCGTTGCTACTGAGTCTGCCATCCTGGGCTGCTAGTCCTCCTTCCAACAGATCAAGAATAAAAACACCTGCCTCATCCGTCCTTCGTACTAATTTAATTCCAAGCTGTTCATTAGAATCCCGCTTATGAAGGATAACGTGGAAGGTCTCTTCTCGTAAAGAATTATTATCAGAATGGCTATAGTTTCGACCACCAAAACGTCTCTCTCGGAGCACAGTAAGGTGTAGCACACTGCAAGGCTGGGAAAGAACAGCTCTAGCATAGTTATGAGACACATTGCTGATGTCAAAGTTGTTGACCTAAAAAAAAAATAAAGATTACAACCCAAACATTCATTAACATTTTAATCTAATCAGCATGAATGTTTCTATAGTATTTTCAAAAGAATTAAGTTAAAATATACTTTAAGAGTCAATTATTACAAATTTCTCAGAAGGACACTTAAGAGATTTCTTAAAAGTGGCTTACTTATAACATCAAGTTAAAACTAAGTTACTGAAGTATAAGTGAGGATGGACAAGGTATACAGAGTGGTGGCAGCCAGAACATCTTTAACTGGACTAACTACTAAAAGACCTCTGTCAATATGTTACCTAAATTGGATGAGCCACTGAGGAGGTTATATAGTTTCTAAGTAGAGTATGTCAGGTCATATGACCATAAGCTTTCCTAAAGCTCATAATAAGATTATGCATAGAAAAAAAAAGCCGCTTTTAGGGAAAAAAAAAACCCAACAACAACAAAAGCCAAAATGACATCCCTCCCTTCCCACACAGCTATCTTATGCTTAAAACATTAAAATGTAATTGTTTTACATCACATTTGTATGTTAAGGGATTAGGAAAAAAACATGATTATAAGAATTTCTTTGATTTCCAAACTAGTTATCTAAAATTAGATCACGACTTGTCTTTCTTCTCAGACACATCCTTCTCAGCTCAGTAAACTTCCATTCCTCTGAATAGTTTCATTTAGATAATAAAAATTTTATTTCACTGGAATTAGAGTATTTCACTTAATACTTTTTATTTTCACTCTAGTCTTGTCAACAAGACATGATAATAGAATATAGATGGCACATTGCAAGCTTTTACATTTGTTTATTCGTTAAGGTACCATACTAATTCATATCCAAATGTATAAATATAAAAAAATGACACAATGATGAAGAGAATGGCACAGAGTACCCTTAGGCCAATGGATCACAGATCCATATCCTAAATAGATATTTAAGAACTTTATTCCAGCTTTGCCACCAGTATGTGGAGTGAATCTAATACATAAAGGACTCCTCCTGTACCTCAATTTTCTTATTTAAAAAAAAAAAGAGTGCTTTGCCTTACGCCTTACAGTGATACTGTAGGGAGAAATAGATATGTAAGTAAAAAAGTTAAACATCTAAGTGACAACCATGAAGTACTACAACTAAGGAATTAAAGAGCAGAAAACAGAACAAAGCATATTATCAGCGTCATTTTAAAAATTATATTTTTAAAGATAAATTTTAATTTACAGAGTCACAGCTAGATTGAAATGAGTGTGTGTGCATGTCTGTGTGTGCACGCATGTGTGTGTGTGTGTGTGCGCGTGTGTTTGTATAAAATAATGGTAGGAATCAAGTGAACTTTATTCTAGTCCAAGATCAGTTACTAATCATGTGCTTAATTGAATATGTACACCTAACATCTCTGAGGTCTTAGTTTTGTTGCTGTTCAATTGTTCAGTTTCATCCAATTGTTCATGACCCAGTATGGGTTTTTTTTTTTTCAGCAAGGACACTGGAATGGCTGGCCATTTCCTTCTCCAGTGGATTAAAACAAACAGATTAAGTGACTTGGCCGGGGTCACACAGCTAGTGTCTGAGGACAGATTTTGAACTCAGGTCTTCCTCACTGCAGATCCAGAACTCTATCCATTGAGCCACCTAACTGCCTCCAAGGCAAACAAAGGTTAAGTGACTTGCCCACACACTTAGCTAGTAAGTGTCACAGTCTGCATTTGAACTCAAGTCTTCTTGACTTCAGGCTCAGTGCTCTATCTATTAAACTATTTAGAACTGCCTCTATAATTTTTTCCTCTGTAGCAAAAACCCATTTAATGTATTATCTTCTGACAGGGTACATATCAGATATTAAACTGTAAGAACAGATATTATACTTAATCTTAGCCAAATGGCCAAGGAGCAATAGCTTCTTGGTTTCCTTATCTTAGTTTACTCATTAATAAATTTAAGGAATAGACTAGATGATTTCTAAAGTTCATTCTAGTTCTAAAATAGTATTACCTACCACTTTATGGGGATACAATCCTTGGAACCTAATTCAAGTCCTTGTATTCTTTACTAAATCACTTTTGATTCACCAACTCACACAATTACCAAAATACTAGAGCTGGACCATGTTGTTGCTATTGGTCAGTTGTTTTTCAGTCATGTCTGCCTCTTCATCTACTGCATCACCTAGCTGTCCATTCATAGTTTCAATGTAATTCATTCATTCATTCAAATGCTTATTAAGTAAGTGCCTACTGTCTGCAGACCACTATGTCAGCAGTTATGGGGAGGGCAGACAAATTCTGATAATACACAATCAATGCCTTCATGGAGTTTATAGAGCATTAGTAGGATAAGGAAAAAAACCATAAAAAATATACAACATTACATAGTAAATGTACAAGGAATCAGCAAAACAAAATGTTATTTGAAATTCAAGGAGAAAGGTAACAGGAAAATCACAGAAGGAAAAAATGTCATCCCATCCCTTCTTTGATGCTTATCTTTCTTTCAGCAGAGCTAAAAAACTCATTTTTTTCCCCTTAGCTTTCCTTCACAGCCTCGGTTCCCTCTAAGATTTAATACTCTTGAAACTACTCTTTCATCTGTTTCATAAACCTTTATAATCATCTATTCCCTGCCCTAGCTTGCATTTAGAAAAGTTAATTTTTTAAAGTCTCCATTGGTTGACAGTCTCTTTAGTATGTAAATCAGACTGGTCCATCTCATCTGAATTGTTTTCCTTAACGTCATCAGAATTTCACTCTAGAGAGCTTCCTATGCATTTCTGGACTCATTTTTTCATCAGAATTTTAGTCCACCTCCCTTTTGTGAATCCTCTGAAACTTGCTCTCTCAAAATCTAATACTCACATCAGACTAGAGAGTCCCTGACTTTCTCTTCTCTATCACAAATGGGATAGAGTGTTCACTTTCTCCCAACGTTCCCATCATTTCCACTGCAGAAACCAATTCCTTCTTGGTGAGAATCCAATGTGAAATAGAATTTCCCCTTAACCCTATCTCTTATCTAGAGAGAGTTATCAGAAATTTCACACACTCATTTTAATACAACATTCATATATATAATTCCACAGGAAGACTATACAATAAAACTGCCTAATTTATTTCCCTTTGCTTGTTCATTTATGTCACCTTTTTTGTTAAATAAAATAGCGAATCAAAGCAAGTCACAATTTTCCAAATGCAAATAAGCAAACCCTACTAGGTGGATTATTACTTACTTGCTTACATAATACACACATACACACACATATTAAAGTCATATATGAAAATCAGCTTATTAGTAGCTTTGTGGCCTGACTAAATTTAGGCAAAGAACTACTTAGAATTGCTCAAAACCATAAGGACCAGAAATTCTGTTCTGGCTTTACAGAAACAATTAAAAAACCCTCAGCCAAGCAAGAACTGATTCTGCTGTTTTTCAAATTCATCAACACAAGTTTCTTTCAGCCTCAACATCTCACAAGTACCTTTCAAAGGGCTCACTATTTTGTTAATTCTGCTCACCCAAAGTCAAATATAACAGTTTCTTAATAGCAAAAAGTCCATTTAAAACTTCAATTAGATCTTAAAAGCAGGGAGCATGGCTCCACTTAAGGGATAAGACATAACAGCTAAAATTCAAGTCTACTTTTAATATCCATTAAAGGGAAAAAAAAAATCTGTTAGTAAATCCATTAGTTAGGGAGTCCTGTTGATATATGGCTTTTCTATATATACATATATATATATATATATATATATATATATATATATATATATATATATATATATATATATATATATATATATATATATATATATATGTATATATATATATATATAATTTATCCATGTGATCTAAAAAGTCTTTAGTCCTTCCCTAGACAGTAATATTTATTTATGGAGGATGGCATGTTTGAATTTTTACAAATATATTAAAGTTTTAAAATTCTGTGGCAACTATAAAGGCTACATCAATCACTATTAAATTATGGTTACTTTTTAAGGGCTTCACAAAGATAATTATCTTTAGAATAGAGGTGAACAAGATGTAGATTAATAAATTCATTAATCACTCTTTGCTAAAGACATTATTAACTTATGTTCAGTTATGATACATGCATGGGCACACACACCAACACAACCACAATATTCAGAATGGAGCAAAATAACTTGGAAATGTATTATCTTTACGTTTAAATTTTCTAGAAAAGCTAATAATTCTCTTGTTTAGCTCAGAGTTTTTTAATAACCGGATTATAGGTCATACGTGTTTGGATTTTCAAAAATGCTACATTACAGGATCAAAGAATCTGACACGAGAGGAACTTCAAAGGACATAGTCCCTTAGCAATGTAGTCCAACTCAGTTCACAGATGGAGAAACTCGAGACCCCAAGAGGTGAAGTGACTTGACCCTGTCACAGAGGTAGTAAGGAGCAGAACCTGGATTTGAACCCAGGTCACTACTGCTTGGTCGATTTCTCCCTCTCATATTCCTTGCCCTTTCATACTCTTAACTTTTATATCTCTGATGCATTCCTAAAAAGCTTTATCCTTGTGAACTTTAGGAATATTAAAACAGGTCTCATTACGGACACAGAAGCAGCAATAACCTCTCAGAATCAGTCTCCTGGAAAAATAAAAACTGTTGCTTTTGCCCCATTTTTACCCTCTTCTCCCAAACTTTTACAATGGAACTGACTTTGAAGAGGCAATTTGGTGGCATAGTGGCTAAGAGTGCTGGACTTCGAACGAGGAAGACCTGAGTTTAAATCCAGCCTCAGACACTTACAGGTTACGTGACTGGGACAAGTCACTTAACTTCCAACCGCCTTAGTAATAATAATAATACCTACTTTCCAGCGTTGTTGTATCAAATGGGACAATGTTTTTTTAAGTACTTAGCACATGTAGTGCCTCCCATACATAGTAGGCACTTAGTAAATCACTACTTCCTTTCTTCCTTCTTCCCTTTCTTGAAGGCTATATAGTCCTCCAATTACCTGAAGATAGCTATTTTGTCTCCCTTTCCTACCCCTCAATCATTTTTTTTTGGGGGGGACATTTCCTTACACACAGAACATGTAAAAAGACTGCATTTGAAACCATGAGCTCCATTTCATGAACTTTTCATTTCATGAATCTCTCATTTCACCTGCTTCAGACATCTAACAAATGCTATAAATTATTTTTGAAACTGTTCTGCTTATCTATGTGTCCCTCTGAACTTCCTTCTGTTCTTTTCTGTGCATTTTTAAAAACGTTAAGATGTCCCCCTTCCCTTTTTTGGCATCACTACTGGTAATTCCTCCAGCCCTCTCTGGTATAAAACAGAATGTTAGGGACTTCAGAGGCCTTAGGTCTGGGCTGTCCTGTTCTGAGCACTACAGTATCATGCTGGGCACTGACATTTTGTGCAGTTCTGGGATGGAAAACATCATTTATTGGAAGTTTTTATTGGATTTCTTGATAATTATTTGGTCTGGTGTGAACTTCAGGGTTTTGTTGGACTAGGTATGTGACAGCTGGGTGGTATGCCTCCTATTCAGGCGGCCATCCTGGCAGAAAGTGCTCTTTCTAAATCTTTTCGTCCAAAGACTAAATATTTCCCATTGGTAGAACTGTTTTCATCATGTAGGTAAAGTCCACAGGATCCACTTTATGGAACACATGGTCATTTCATGCTACAGTTACTCATGATAAATATAAGAAAAAGGATGATGATGAATATAATTATAATTTATGTACCAATATTTACCACAAAAGATGAAAAAGAAAAATCCAACCAAGAATTTGAGATAAGACCCTCTAGTTAAATTTATACCTGAATAGGAATCACCTTTACAACATCATCTGGGCCATTCAAATATTTGATGACATCTATTACATTCCTTCTCTCCATCTTCCAACTGCCTCTTCTCCCTAATTCCTATTTCCTTCAAGACATCTTCACATGGCATGGTTTCTACACACATTATGGTTTGTCTGTTTATCCTTTCTACAATGCCACATCCAGAATTGTACTCTCAGCAAGGTGAACTACCACAGGACTACCATCTCCTTTGTTTTGGCACTATACATGTCTTAATTCAGTCCAAGATCACTTCAGCTTTTTGGCTGCCTTGTCACATTGTTATAATCCACTATACCCCAAAATCAATTTCATGAATCAACTGTCTGGCCATCTTCCCCTATTTTGTACTTGTGAAACTGGTTCATTTGAAAACTCTATTCCAACAAATCTGCTTTCAATCTAAAAATTATAAAGCTATTATTTACATAACTCATGTTCCACTGCCAGGAAAGGAAAACGCTCCAGTCTTCAAAATCACTTGACATACTGCAAGGCGATAACATTTTAATTAGATTCTATACCTGAAGTATCTGGTCTCCAGCAAGGAGTCGTCCATCTCTTGCAATTATGCCATCCCGATAAACTTCTTGGATAACAATGTTGATCAAAGGTGTTTCGTTGCCACCCACAATACTAATTCCTAACTCAATATAAGGATTAGACCGATGAACTTCAATTGTAGTAATCTCCCCTTCTGGTAAACTAGGTGGTGGTTGTGAAGCTGACAAATTTAAAAACAAAAAAAAGTGAAAATGCATTTTATAGCTTATAGCTTATCATTTTTTCAGTCAAGTTAGTTACTAGATAACAACAGAAAGATATTTTCAGAAACAAAGTATTACACAAAAACTTAATTAGACTTGGCTTACCATTTGCTAAAAGATCTCTAAATGTGAGTTTTTGCTTTAAAATAAAACATCACTGCTATGCAGAATGGAAAAATCAACTAATACTGATTTTTATCACATTTTCCTTTTTCAGATCAATCAAATAGCAATTTCTAAAAATTACCTAATATGTACAAAGCAATGTGCTAGGCAATGTAGGGGATACAACTTATTTATAGGATGTGAAGCTTTCAGTCTATTGGGGGAGACCTGACTAGCTGACATGAAAATGACTAAGATAATAAAAATCAAGCACTAAACTCTGTGTATATAAATGTTGTAAGAGATCAAGAAAGAGTGATAATCAAAGGAAATAGGAATAATCGTAAGAGGTTTCATGGAAGAGGCAGAACATGAACTAGGCCTTGACAGGATTATATGACATATATAGACAGAGGAGAAAGGAATAAAATTTTTAAAAATAAACTGTAATTTGTAAAAGATTGTTACAATAAAATACAATAACCCACATCTTATTCCTAGAAATTAACACAGTTTGTCTTCCTAAATGATTCTATAAAAGCAGGCCTTATTGATATCTATCAAGAAACCAGTTGAAGATGAAGGTGCTAATGAGTTACCCAGGCTGTATCTAGAAGAGAAAAAGGAATAAACTTCTTTTGAGGTGAGGGTCAGTGCTTCCTCTCTAAAATACCAAGCTGCTAAAATCAGTACTATTTAATGCAGACAAATGAGGGGATTAGCTTGCCTACCGCTCATCGACAGGACAATATTCCATGCAGGAAGATGTCTGATCCAAGTAGATATGTTTCATATTAGAAGTTGGCGTGGAATTTGTTGCTAAAATATACTGCTTTGTTAAAGCCATCAGGTCAAAAACCAAAAATAAACAAGGCGAAAACTTTAACAACAACTACTTATAGTTTGTAGCCCAAAACTGGAAGGGGTGGGGTAGGGAGAAGAGGAAGGAAATGGCGCCAGAATAAAACTTTATGTGAAGGCAAATTTTTTTCCCCGTCACATATATATTTTTCTTCTCATGCAAATTTTTCCATTAATAAGTATCTGGTAAACTGGGGAAATCCAGTTTGCCATTAATAATTACTACAAAAAAAATGAGTGTTTATGTTTTGTTTTGAATGCAGAAAAACCTTTCATACTGATAAGCCTGAAAATGTCCAATTTTGACACTGAGAAATAAAATATAAGATATGGAGGTAAACCACACATACTGTCTGCTACTGTGTTTTCCTCAAATGCAGGGTTGTCAAGACCAGGCTCATCTGTCCACATAGGAAGAGATGCTGATGTCAAATTCCGCTCTGCTGGTACTGTTCCTGTCCCAGCACTGTCTGGTGATAAAGTACCAGGGTGATCTACCACACTGGATCCATTTTCATTCTCAGTTTCAGCCTTTAATTTGCTGGTTTTCCTTCTCTCTAGAGCAACTCTCCGACGGGAAGCTCCAGGACATCTAGAGAGAGAACATTAGGTTGTTTTCAAATGAGTCAAGAAAGAAAAAAATCAACAATGTTACAGGTCACAAATTAAAAAATTTAATATCTGAATCAAATCAAAATACCCTTCCAAATAATGACAATTATTTACATGCAAATAATACCTCAAAGTATCTTCAAGTTGTCTACAAAAGGATTTAATCTATCACTCAAGCAAAGCTCTTATTTAACATCCCATAATACAAATGCTGAACAATTTAGGATAGAAAACATCAGGAAACACACGCTTAAGCAACAGTTAAAATAATGCTTACTACCAAACACATTACTTCAAACAAATTCAATGCACATTTAAGAAGAGGCAGTTTGATGTAGTAGATGAGGAGCCGGTTTCAGAGTTTGAAAAAGTTTATTTAATTTTTTTCTCTTGCAAAGATCTAAAACATCTCTAAAAGTCTGATGATGGAAAATGCTATCCATATCCACAGAAAGAATTATGGAGTCTGAATGTAGATCGAAGCATACTATTCACCCTTTTTTCCCCTCTGTTTTGTTTTGTTTCCTCTTTTTGGTTCTAATTCTTCTTTACAACACGACTAATGTGAAAATATGTTTAATAGGAATGTGTATGTAGAGCCTCTATCAGATTCTATTCCGTCTGGGGAAGGGAGGCAGAGAGGGAGGGGGAGAAAATTTAAAACTCAAAAGCCTATGGAAGTGAATGCTGAAAACTAAAAATTAATTAATTAATTAAAAAAAATAAATTTTTTCTCTGTCAAAACTGACCAAGCGATCCCAGGCAAGGAAATCTGCCAGCTGCCCCACATGACTCTTTAAGACTGTTAAGTGTTTTAACATAGTGTTTCAGGGTTTTCTTAGTGCTTTACATATTAGTCATTTGAACTTCATAAAGTTTACCAAGTACTTTCCTCACAACTTTTATGAGGTATGAAAGTATTATTATCCCTTTGCAGATGAGGAAACTGAGGCACACGGGTTAATTAACTTCCTTAGATTTTATAGCTTAGTAAGCATTAGAATCAGGAGGCCTTCTAATCCCAAGACCAGGGCTCTTTACACTAGTAAAATTTTTGGAACATATGAAAAACAATGAAAAAGTTCAATACTTACACAAGTTGTACTGGAGGCATTATTCTGAAAAGTGCAACACTTCTTATATTTTACAATTTAAGAAGCTGATGCCTGCATAGCAATGACAGAAGTCACTAATCCTGGGCACAATGAAAACACTGACTGCCCCATGACTTGCCATCTCAAATTTGCCACTTTGATATTCCCAGTGTCATATTCACATGATATTCCCATGACTGACACCGGACAACAATGTATCATGTGCCTTACAACTTACAGTTATGGCCCACATGAAATTTCCCTCATACTGGACACACACATAGAGGTCAGAATATACAATCTCATCAATAAGCCTACACAAATGGATTTATAGGTCTGATTTACCCTAAGAAGTCCCAGCACAAGTGTTATTTTAACTACTAAACATTAAACAATAAATAATATGCTGTGTTATTTCACTCTTAAAACTTTAAAGTCATGTGTTACATTACATGGATGGCATATGACAGTGTTAGACACAAGAGAGAGGCAGCATGGTTGGCAGAAAGAGCACTGACTTTGGAATCAGAGGACCTGGGTTCACCTCCTAGCTGAGACATCTCTAGTGAGGACGAGCTAGACTAAATGGTTTCAAGGTCCTTTCTAGCTCTAGGTCTGAGATCCTATGAAATACCCATCAGCTTTGGCATCAATCATCTGCTTACTTGATTTGTCTTTTGAGGGCTCTCCAGATTTGCACTAATTTTTGATCCTGGTCAGTATTTTCTTTTAACTTCTCACTCCAGAAGATCCCTCTGTCTGTGGGGTCCCCTCATCTCCTTGGTGTGTCAGTTCCTCACAAAATCTCCATTTCTGCCCATCCTTCACTTCTCTCCTGATTCTGCTCCTGACTTTTCAGACTTTTCCCCCAGGCTTCCACCCTTCTCAGCTTTTATATGTTGCTTTTCCCCATTAGAATGTAGGCTCCTCGAGGACAGGGGCTTAGCACAGAGTCTGGCATACAGCCAGTGTTTAATAGATGCTTATTGACTTAACTCTCTTCTTAATCTCTGATGGTGGTAGTTCTAATACTTTTTAGTACTAGGACCCCTTTAAACTCCTAAAAATTATGTAAGACCCCTAAGAACTTTTATTTATGTGGGTTATATCCATCAATATTTAATGTATTAGAAAACAGATACATTTAAAAATATTTATTTTAAAACAAAAATAAGACTATTACATGTAAACATAACATTTCAATGAAAAATAACATCTTCCAAAACAAAAATAATTTAGTGAAAAGAATAGCACTGTTTTACATATTTTTGCAAATCTCTTTAATGTCTGCCTTAATAGAAGACAGCTGGATTCTCATATCTGCTTCTGCATTTAATCTGTTGTGAGGTTGTTTTGGTTAAAGCATAGGAAGAAAATCTGGCCTCATGGTTATATAAAGTTGGAAAAGCAAATAATGTGCATAATGTATAAATTATTATTATGAAAAGTTTTGACCTTGTGGATCCCCTGAAAGGTGTCATGGACTTCCAGGGGTCCATGGACCACACTTTAAGAACTGCTGCCTTAAGGTAAAGGTTTTGTCCAAGGTCTTCTTCTATCAGCCTCCTTAAGAAGGAAGGTGAATCAGAAAAATGTGTATAAGAGATGCAGGTTAAATATTTATATACAAAATCAGTATAAGGTCAGAGCAATCTGTTAGTTTCCTTAGAGCAGGATTTATTGTTGTTGTTCAGTTGTTTCAGTCGTATCTGATTCTTCACGACTCTATTTGGGGTTTTCTCGGCAAAGATACTGCAGTGGTTTGCCATTTCCTACTTCAGTTCATTTTACAGATGAGAAAACTGAGACAAATAGGGTTCAGTGACCTGCCCAGGCTCACAGAGGTAGAAAATACCCGAGGCCAGATTTCAACTCAAGAAGATAAGTCTTTCTGACTTCAGGTCCAGCGCTGAGCCACCTCGTTGTCCCATGTATAGTTATATAGTTTTATTAACTGTCTCTTAAGTCTACTCTTTCCTCACCATTCTCATTTGACCCCAAATACAAAAATTTTGTGCAGCTGTTCTTTCCTACTGAAAGAACAAGATACAGGCAGAACTGTTCTTTATTCAAATGAATAAAAACTAGTATTTATTCATTTGAATAAAGCAGAGTTCTAGCTATATCTTTTCTAAATACTTTTAGAAGCACAATGTAAGATTTACATATTAATGTACTAATGTATTCTAAATAGATCACAAAAGGCTATGACAATTTTGTCCAAAGCTAGGATACTTTAAACATACTGTTAAACAAATTGCTTTTATAGCTACTAAGGTCTTAAATGTTAAATTTTTATTGATTTCATTCATGTAGCTCCTGGTGAGGAAATTCCACTCAGATCATTAGCATCGTTTTGGCAACTTAGAACCTCAGCTACGAGATGCCTGGGGTAGGTCCAGAGTTTAAGTGACTTGTCTAAGGTCTCACAGTATTATGTGCCAGACTAACCACTTGAAAGTAGGTCTTTCTGACATTAGGACCATCTCTCTGTCCACTATGCCACTCTGCCTGTCAAATATTAAATTATTTTGGAAAGAAATTACTAGTTTCTTGGCAGAATTTTACAAGTGGCTACTAAAATATGTTTTGTGCAACACAGAATCTCTCAGTATTTCTATATTCATTAGTTTCAATTTTTTCATATCTAACTTTCACATATTACTTTTAGGTATATAACTGAATCTTAAGTTCAATTTTATTTATTAAAAACTTCACACTACAGGCAGCTAGGTGGCACAGTGGATAGAGCACTGGCCTTGGAGTCGGCAAGACCTGAGTTCAAATCCAACCTCGAACACATGATACTCACTAGCTGTGTGACTCTGGGCAAATCACTTAACCCTAATTACCTCACCAAAAAAACCAAAACAAAATACAAACAAAATCTTTACACTGGACTGAAGAAGGGGGTTACGTGGGGGTAGCAGGACACGTCCCTTTCAGCTCTACTACTCATTTGAATCTAGAACATGATAATCCATGCTTTAATTGGGTTTATTATATTTATAAAGTATGTATTGCTATGGTATAAAAATATTTTCCACATCCAACATAATGCAGCACAATTTACTAAACAGAGAGCTAGCCTAGGCCTCAAGAATACCTGGGGGCAGGCCTTTCTCTGATATACAACAGCTGTGTGAGCATGGTTAAGACACCTCTCAGTACCCAAAATTACAGAGCAGTTGTTGGTATGCATCAGAGGAATGAGCTTCCATGCTGGGCATTCCAAATACTAAATAAATCAGTAGTCCAGAACCCCCCAAAGCAAACAAATAACAGCTCATATTTTCTATAGCACTTCAAGATTTACAATGTAGCTTTCTCACCACAATCACATGAAATAAGCAGTATAACTATGATTTGCTCCATCTGTAGAGATGAAGAAACTGAGGCTCAAGTAGATTAAGAAATTGCCCAGAGAAACCTAGCTAGTAAACATAAGAGGTTCTGTGAACCCAAGCCTTCTGACTACATACAAGATAAGTGTTCATTCCACCACATCACGAGGACATAGAAAGGGGACATTTCAACATAAGACAGGATAACATGGTATCTGAGTATAATAACACTTTCATTCTTCCATTAAAAAATACAAAAAGTGAAAGTTAAAATAACTAAAATTTTTAGAAATCTAACAAATGATAAATGACTGAAGATGAAATTTCTTAATGGGCTAAAAGAATACATATTGTAAATAACATGAATTAAATTATAGGCCTCTGTAAATGTCTACTAAAATTATATCTAATAAGCAAAACATAACTGATTTCCTTAATATACTACTCACCTGTTTTTAAGATGTCCCTCTAGGTCACAACGCTGCATGACTTCTTGGCATACTGAAGAAAAGGGACACAGAACTAGTAGTTTGTCTAAGAGCTTATGAACCAGAATACTGGATTTCTTACACAGCTTAAAATGGAGCCTTTTCCGATCCAATGGACAAAAATCTTTCTCTTGTAAAAAGTTCCTTAGGCACTTGTAGCAGAATGTGTGTCCACAAGGGGTATCTAATGGCTGTAACAGGGGCTGAAGGCAAATATGGCAGACCAGTCATCATCCACTTCATTCTGATAATTGTACAAATGATTTTCTCTGGTCCAATGTTGTTGACCACATTCAAAACACAAAGGATTTAAGGAAGAGTTCTGTTCCATAGAAACAATTTCATCACTGGTAGTACCCATTCTAAACCAAATGGTACAATCTTTGTTTTTTCATAAGTCAGGCTTGTATTTAAGGTTTCGTTTTCTTTCAATGGTCCGTTTTTCTATACAAAAACAAAAGGAAAAAGGCTCATTAATTACTATAGAAGTGCTAAAAATGCTTGTTTATTAATTGATTATAATAAGCAATGCAACAAATTAACATCACTAAACTCTTGTTCAAGAAAGAAACAACCAGAACAGTAAATGCAGTTTAATTTTCTTAAAGAAAAAAGGCTGACAGAGGGCAACATATATTTCACTTCTTTTAAACTACCATTGAAAATGGATATTTCATTGCCCAGTTTTCCTTGACAAGACTTGTGATTAAAAGCAAGGATATTATACCACATTACTATATTTCACTACGTAATTGTCACAGATTTTATGCTAAATTTTTTGCAAAAAACTGGGGTGCAACCATTATGTGAAACTTTTTTTTTTTACATTGTGCCAGTATTACTCAAAAATAATGTATTACTAAACTGTGTTGCTGGCAGAAGAACTGTACAGTTTAGCTAGTGTGGGAAGATGCAAGTCTTAAACAGCTTAAAATGGAGTCTTTTCCGATCCAATGGATAGAAATCTTTCTCCTGTAAAAATTCCTCAGGCACTTGTAGCAGAATATCACGTGACCTAACTCATGGCAGCTTCACCTGCCTGCCTGCTTCTCTTGCCCCCACAGCTCTTCACTGGGTTGAGTAACAATACTGTTAGTACTGCAGCACTCTAAACAAACCAGGCAAGTAGGCTTCTGGAAGTATACTGACAACGCACCTGCACTGAGAATTCTAGGCTTGAAGCTTGCAGTGCTCAAGAAATAAATGTGTATCCATACGCCACTGGTGAATATATTGTTGCTCGGTTTACCTTTCAAGCCACATGATGAACAGAATTATACCATGTGATAACTGCACAATGTAAGGTTATAAACCAATTTTTGGAATGAAAAAAACAAAACAAAACAAAACAAAAACAACTGGGGGTGACAATTATGTGATGGCAATGATTACGTGGTGAAATATGGTAGATACAAAGCATTTGGTTTTACTATCTGAAACCCCATTCTCCCTCAAACACTCCACTACTTAACAGCAATTACAAAAACAACTCATTTATCTGGTGTAACACTAGATTTACTCCACTTTATCACTACCCTCAGCCCTTCTGATTGGAGAGTAGGACCATGAACTCCAAATCTCCATTTAAGGAGAGGGAGATGAGCTCAGACTTCTCATTTGTCACTTAGTTGTACTACTTTGGGACCTCTCTCCCATTGCTCCAGGAAGCTCATCATCCTAATAAGATCTCATCTGCCTTAGGACTCTATCTCATCACTACCCTCTGCCTTTCTGATTGGAGGGGTAGGTCCATCACTCTCCATGTAAGGAGAGAACTCAGCTCACAGACATGTTTTTATTTCTCACCTGGCTGCACAACTATGGGGCATCTCTAACTGCTTCTCTATTTCATCATCCCCTTTCCCTCCTTTAGATACCTCTCTCCCTGTGCCCTATGCTTTTCAGTTTTGTCTTTCCCTATTAGACTGTATGCTCTTTGAGGGCAGAGACTGTCTGTCTGTCTCTCTCTTTGCATTTATGTCCCCAGCAACAAGCATAGTTTCTAGTGCATAGCAGGTGTTTAATAAATGCTTACTGGCTACTGTAACATGACATATTATCTATCATTTGTCCTACCAGTCCTCCTGACCCCCCCCCCCACACAGAGTTCAGAAACCTACTATCAAGGACAGTGGTCTGGTATGGTTCCATCTTCCCCAATCCCCTTTCCAACTCAGCCTGTGAAAGTGATCTCAACTCTAATTTGTAATGGCACTTCACCAGGGCCTGTATCTTCTCTGTCTTTGTATCCCCAAGTACCTTGCACACATTTGATCCTGTTATTTTCTGTATGTGGAATGCCTTTCCTCTCCCTCTATATTTGTTGAATTATGACTAATCCTATAAGTCCCAACTCCAAGGCCACTTTTTTAAAAGTCTAACCTAAAGAAGGCTTGGGAGTCAGGAAATATGGGTTTAAATCCTGTCTCAGATACTTAGTGTGTCGTGATGGGCAAGTTTTTTTTTTTAACTCTATCTACAAAATGCAAGCGACAACAATTACACTACTTATCTCACAGGCTGTTGTGAGGAGAGTACTTTGCAAATTTTAAAGGATTATACATAAATGAGGACTTTCTGTGAATCCTCTGTTAGCAACTATATTCTTGCTCAAACCTGAGAACATTTTATTTGCCCCTCTCTATTATACTTACCATATAATATCATATATCATAATTATCTGTGACTGAGTCTTATCTCTATAATAGTAAGTTCTTTGAAGACAAGGGCATGTTCTAATTAAACGTTTAATTAAACTCAATATGTATTTATGTATTAAGAATCTACTATGCACAAGGCACTGGGCAAAGACAAAAAAATGATGTCTTTACCCTGAAAGAACTTTGAAATCTCTGGCCCCAATCTAGTGCCCTGAACAAAGCTGGCCCTAAAAAATGCCTGTTAAAATAGTACGGACAGTCTGTGATACAAAAAATGGATAAGACTTATTTTGCTTGGTCACAATGGGCAGAACTAGGAAATGAATTTAAACTGCAGGAAAGCTTAATTTATCTTAGCTTAATTTACCTTCCTTACAACATTTAAAGTTGTTCAAAGGTAGAATGAGTTCCCTTGGAAAGTAATGGCTTTTTCATTTCTTGAAGTCAAGTAGATGCTGGCGCAAATTCTTGTCAAGGGCATTGTAGAGGATTCCTGTCTGGATATGAGTTGGCCTAGATGATTTCTGAAGTCTCTTCCAAGTCTGACACTGTGTGAATAAATGGCCAGAATATTCAAATTGCATTTGAGGTAGGTTTTAAGGTAAATGTCAGGCATTTCCTATACTCATATGTGCAAATTACATATGATAAATAGGGTGTATTTATAAACAGGGCACTGCCCAAACATTCTTTTTTTGGTACCAGACCTATGATTTCACTAATATAAGAAACTCTCAAAAAGGAAGCTCCTTATACCAATAAAGATTGGCATCTGCTCTGCAATTTCCCTGGCAGGATCATGGAGCCTGAAGGTGCCAAGAGATGAAACAAAGGCTAGCCTGTCACAGTAATCAGGTAGCTGTCCTCAGGGGCCAAACTTTATACCACACAAAATATTTCCTGCTTAAATTAGATTAAAGTACATTTGGTACAAAATTGTAGACAGTCTTACTGACTCTGAACTTAAGGGGAAACTTTTGTTTATGCCTCTCACTCTAGCATGATTTACTCTATATTTCCTAGACTGAATAAGTAGTGAGGCTTGTCCTAATACTTTCAAAAATGGTTCTTCTGTCAAAATGGATACATGACCTAGATATAAAGGGAGTTATTACAAGAAAATCTGAAGAACGTGAAACATATTACTTATCAGACTTATGGACAGGCAAACAATTTATGAATAAACAAGAAACAGAGAGCATTGTGAGGTATAAAATAGACAAATTTGATTATGTCAAATTAAATTTTTTTTAACAAATGAAAACCAACATAGCCAAGACCAGAAGGAAAGTAGAAAATTGAGGGGGAAATTTAAAGACAGTTTCTCAGATAAAAGTCTCATATCTCAAATGCATAAATAACTTTGTCAAATCTACAAGAACGAATCATTCCCCAAATGATAAATGGTCAAAGGATATGAACAGTTTTCTGATGAAGAAATCAAAACAATTTATAGTCATATGAAAAAATTCTCTAAACTATTGTTGATTAGAGAAAAGCAAATTAAAACAACCTTGAGGTATCATTTTATGCCTATCAAATTGGTCAAAATAATAGAAGGGAAAAGTGACAAATGTTGGAGGCAATGCGGAAAAACTGGGACACTGTTGGTAGAACTGTGATCTAATACAACCATTTTGGAGAGCAATTTGGAAATATGTCCAAAGAGTTATAAAACTGCCTATACCCTTTGACCCAGCAATACCATTATTAGATCTGTTTCCCAAGATGATTAGGGAAAAAAAGGAAAAGAATCTATATGTCCTAAAATATTTATGGCAGTTGTCTTTGTCATGGCAAAGAACTGGAAATTACAGGGATGCCTGTCAACTGGGGAATGTCTAAATAAGTTGCGGTATATGATCATGATGGAGTATTACTGTGCTATAAGAAATGTTGAGCTTGATGATTTTAGAAAAACATGGAAAGATTTGCATGAAATAATGAACTAAAGAGCAGAACCAAGAGAATATTCTATGTAGTAATAGCAATACTGTTGTTTTAAGAACTTTGAGCAACCAAGTCATTTTGACTATTACAAATAGCCAGATTAATTACAAAAGACCTATGAAGGAAGACGCTATCTGCATCCAGAAAAAGAAGTGATAAACAAAAGTACATATAGTATGGATTTACATTTTGTGTGTGTGTGTGTGTGTGTGTGTGTGTGTGTGTGTCTAATGGTAGTCATGGAGGGGTAGAAGAGAAAAAAAATTTCTTACAACTTTATTATATATTTAAAAGGAAAAACAAGTCATACATAAGAGTTGCAGTTTCCTTTGCAATGTTTTTTCTATTCTACTATGTTGTTTTATTTCTTAAGTTCAGAATTTTAAAAAATGTTAAAAAAAAAGTTCTTCCTTCCTACTCTGGATACTGAAGATACAGCACAGAATGTCTAAACTTCAGAGGGAAGAGAGATGTTTTCTACAAACAAGCCCACCAATGTGGTGATGGGTAAGTCATTACTGTATAGATCTGGGAAATTTTTAGCCCTAGTATTGTTAGAAAAGCTAATTATGAGGTTGTAAAGGTTAACATAACACAGACCACTAAAAAAAATAGTTTCTACCTAGGCCTAGAAAGAAATCCTGGGTAGAGAATAATTTATGAAGCATCATGAATTATATTGCTAGTACAAGATTAGTACTTCAAACATCTATCTTCTGATCAGGAGGAAGAATTATTTTTTTGGACCACAGGTGTATTTGCTAGAGTTGTCATTCTTCCCCCCCCATCCCTTTCCCCTGCAATAAGACTCCTAAATAACAAATTAACCTAATTAACCTTGAAAAAGTTAGGCAAAGAAACTGTAGATTTGGGGAGAGCTATGATTCCAGATGATTTTAATTCAATGAAATACAAGTAAAAATAGCATATAGGTACTACAGTGTTGACATTAGAGTAAAGCAAACAGTTATTCCTGTAGTTTACTACTCGATTTTTATTTTTTTATTTTTTTCTCAAGCACACATAACTTTTAAAAATGTCAACAGTAGTTATAAGAGATTGGAAAAAGGAATGACTAGGGAAAGAATAATCCTTTGTCTATGTTATAAAGCAACTCCTAAACCTAGGTGTCTGAATACAAAATTTATACAGCACCTTGCTTCCTATTCAACTAACAAAGAAAATTTACGTATTCTTTATTAGTCTTGGAACATGGCAGCTTTTATTTGAAAAAAATTTTCCCTCAAGAAAATATACAGCAACTCCTGCCTCCCACATGATGACTAAGAAAGCATTTATCTTCAGACTATTATATTTTAGCTATTTTCTAAATCTCTAAATAACTTTTAGTTCTCTAAGTATTTTCATTTTATTACAAAATCTTTTGAGAAGGAAAAATAATATGTTCCTACTTTTAAATTTTTAAAAAGTACTAATTGAAAATACATCATTCCCACCCCCAAGCTACCTCTATTTCACCATGGGCCAATGTTAAAAGAAAAATTACACGAGCAAATTACAACATATGCATCTAAAGATAATTACTGATTAAGCACAAACTATTAACCACTGAAAAGAATTTTTCAAAATCACATTTCATCAGGCATACTGACAACTAGCTTAAACAAGTGTGGGTTAGTTCTCTGGAGCATTCGGATTTCTCTAACATTGTATTAAACTGAACCTTATTTTGTGGCAGATTCCAATTTCCGATGGTCAAACAGATTTTTTTTTGTACATTTTAAAAGGATTTACACATACTTGACCCAAAAGGGATTACATAGCAATTTCTAATCCATTATTCAATACAGATGTAGAAACTGATGTATATCATGTGGTGTCCTGGCTATAGTTGATAATGTACATCTTTTGGGAAGGCAAGCACAGGGCTAAGATAGCAATTCTTTTGTTATTAGTGACAGAATATAGAGTGAGACCTGAGATGGGATTAGGTGAAAATCTGTCTTAAATACATCTGAAAGGCAGAAAAAAAAGTCCAGGGTCCTATTGTAATAGAGTATAACCTTAGCTTCACATTGGATATGGGCTGAAAAGGTAATATAGATGATAAAGATAACCTGCATAAGTCAACAGCATCATTTATTTAGGCTTCTGGGGACACAGAAAAGAAACAGCATATTCAATCCATGTTTTTATAAAATCTAAGGACAGAAATAAGCCATAATAACAAATTAAAAATAATAAGAGGACCACCACATCAACAACTACCACCACCACTCACAAATAAGCCCACAGCTAACACAATGGAAAAGAAGACCTAACTTTTAGGAAATGCAAAAGTGATTAGAGCAAGGTGAGGTTACCTTCAATGGGTGTTTCTAGGAAGGAAGAATACTATGTAGGAAGTTTTAGAGAAAGAAGTGGAAAATTTTTGTACTGGAAATAATAAGCTTGCTGAGTAATGGGGAACTATTTGCAAAAAAGTGAAGCCTTATCCCACAATCTGATGATTTTAAGCGTTAATAAGGGTTGTCCTCAGGAAGACTAATTCCAGTCATTTCAGAACTCACCTTGAGAAATAAATGTTCGTGCTTTCTCTGTAACAGTGTGAAGGTAGTATTGGTGAACTGAAGGTGGTGAGCTTCAAAGTCGGTTTAAATCTCTTATCAGAACTGCTGTCCAACGCCCATTGTGGTACAGACACAGACATTCATGAGTTGGGGACTAATGAAATTTCACGAGGACCTCTACACGTTGGCTTATACACTATCGCTGTGGAATTTCCTTTCTGAATTACACTAAAAGTTGAATTCATCCATATGGATGTACTGTGTCTGATATATGTCAAAGCTAAAGATACTGTTTTTTATAGCAGCCTTTATTCCTCCCCTTTCTACATCGTTTTTTACCTTCTCAATTTCATGTTCTGCCTATATTTCTGCTGCTCTTTTTTCTTTCCCAGCCAAAAATCTGGAAGAGTATCAGTCAGAGCTGTCCTTTTATATGGGTACATCCACTAGCTAAAATTTAAAACGACTTCATCAAACTCTTATAAGATGAAGTTTCTGTAGGGGTAGTAGCAGAGAATGATGGAAATGCAGGGTAAGCAATCTAGATGAGTGAGATGTGCAGAAACCTAGTAGACCCTCATTTCAAGTAAATTTAAGTAAAATAAACTAAAAGAAAAACAATCAAATGAGCAAAAGTGGAAGGGGGAATGGAAGAAATCCACATAGAGGGAAAAATTAGTGAAACTGAGGAAATGGGCAAATAAATAAAAGCTTCTAACACAATAAATAAATATTATAGCTTTAGAATACCAGGAGAAATATCCAGAAGATAATAATTCTGCAAAATCTACAAATAGAACCCTATAACAGGAATGGAAACATACATTTGTTTGTAAATATATATAGATCTGAATGTGAATAGGGTGATCTCATCCATACAATGAAGAAAGGTATTATAGAATACATTAGAGAGCAAAACTCATAAATTTGCTACATACAAGTTACATGCAGATTTCATAAGGAGTTTAAATGAAGAGGTAAGAAGAGAACTTATTACGTCTAACTGAATAAAAACAAACAAGTACCAAGGCCACAGCAGAATAGTCAACAGAGACAAACAGAGAAAC